TCATTCGGTGACCGCGCTGGGCAGACATGCTGAAAGGTTGGTCACACACAGTCCCGCTGCTTCTCCCGTCTTGACGACGCCTGGCGCGAAGAGTTTCCCGACGCGACTGAGCTCCCTTGCTGGCTAGAGATGCTTAGGCAGGGTGTGGATATCTTTGCTCTTGACCATGACGCTATCCTTGCTACCATGTATGCTTTGACTGTTAGTGCCGAGAGTGACTGTTACCTGTGTGCACCGCCCGACCCAGGTATAGAGGCTGTTGCTCTAGGTGCTAGTGAGTCTGCTCTCCCTGGTACTGTGCCTGCTGAGGCCTTGCACACCTTTACGCTTGACTCAGGTGCTTCTCGCTGCTTCTTTCGTGACAGCACCACAGTCATACCACTCCCAGCACCGGTTGCAGTCTCCCTGGCTGACCCCTCTGGGGGCCCGGTTCTTGCACGTTCCTCCACTGTTCTCCCGTGTCCGGCGGTTCCGTCTGGCTCACTGTCAGGTCTTCACCTCCCCTCGTTCTCTACGAACTTGGTGAGCAACGCCGTCCTTCAGGATGAATGGGTTGATACCTTCACCCCTGGAGGACAGCGTGTGGCGATCTGTACGTGCTCCCGAACTGGCCGTCACATGGCCACGTTCACCTGGGTCGAGTCTGTACACACTGACTACTGTGCCTCCTCAGGTAGCTGCGTCTGCGTCCGCGTCAGGTCAGCTAGCAGCCCACTGATCGTGTCGCCTCCTGTCGCACCAGACTCTCCTTTGGCACCACCGCCTTGGTCACCCCTCCCTGCCACGCCTCCGTTGCATGCACTCCCGCCCCCTTGTCTCTGGTCTTCCCAGGTCTCTGCCTCCCCTCCCACCCTCGCCTGCCCCTCCCTGCCTCCCCTGTGTCGAGGGGCGGCAGCGCGCCGCTCCTCACTCCTCCTCGTTTCCCCCGACGACTGCTCCCCTGCAGACTCTTCACATGGACGTGTGGGGCCCAGCCTGCATCCGTATACAAGGCCGCGAGCGCTACTTTCTGCTGGTTGTTGACGACTACACGCGAAACCACACAGCCAGAATTCCCACTGCGCAGTCGGACTCTCTTACAGAGCGTCGTGAGCCTGAGTCTCGTCCTGCCTCGCCTGTTCGCGCTGCTCGCACTGGTCGTCGTGTTCCTCGTCCGCGTCCTCCCCCTGTCCCCAGCACTCACGCTATGGCACTGCGTCCTTCCTCTGTTCCACTGCGAGTTCCCTTGTAGTCTCCTCCTGCGTCCTCTCTTGCTGATGGTCCGGACCCTGAGTCTGACTTCGTTCGTGCTGCCAGTCCTACTGTTGTCACTGACCCTTTGCTTGAGTCCGCTGCTGCGCCTGCCCTAGTTGCTGATCTTGTTGACTTTGCTGCCGCCTGTCGTCTCGACTACGCTGCTAGTCTTGTTGCTGAGTCGGAGTCTGACTGTCCTTGGCACGAGGGGTGAGTGTGCTCTTGGCACGGACGTCCTTGAGGACAGGCAGGAGGACATTGAGTGTTTTGCAGCTGCTTTACCTCATCTCGTGTCCATGCTGATTGCACCTGAGGGAGACCCGGATGCACCAGACATCCCGACCCCGCGCTCTTACGCAGAGGCGATTGAGGGTCCCTACTCCTCTCGGTGGCAGATAGCCATGGACGCAGAGATGGCTTCCAAGAAGTCCACAGGCACCTACGTCGACGAGGTACCCCCACCTGGGGCGAACATCGTCAGTGGCATGTGGATTTTCAGGGTGAAGCGGCCGCCGGGTTCTCCGCCTGTCTTCAAGGCGCGTTACGTTGCACGAGGCTTCAGTCAGCGACAGGGAGTTGACTTCTTCCAGACCTTCTCCCCTACCCCGAAGATGACTACTCTTCGGATTCTGCTGCACGTCGCTGCTCAGCGTGACTACGAGCTTCACTCTCTTGACTTCAGCACAGCCTTCTTACAGGGTAGCCTGCACGAGGAGATCTGCCTGCGCCGCCCACCTGGCTTCACTGGGTCGTTTTCTGCAGGTACCCAGTAGAGCCTCCGGCGGCCAGTCTATGGTCTTCGCCAGGCGCCTCACGAGTGGCACGACACACTAAGGACGACGCTTGCGGCTCTTGGGTTTGCTCCTTCGACTGCTGACCCGTTGCTGTTTCTGCGCACCGACACTTCGCTGCCGCTGTTCTACATCCTCGTGTACGTCGACGAGTTGGTGTTTGCCACTGCTGACACCGAGGCACTAGCCCTAGTGAAGTCGGAGCTGCAGAAGAGACACACGTGCACAGACCTGGGTGAGCTGCGCTGTCGGAAATGCTCTCCTATTGCCCCTTCCTGCTGCTGTTCCCCTTCCTCTCCTGGGCCTCTCCTGTGATGGCTCTGGTCTCTCCTTCATCCCCGTCCCAGGGGACTCTTGGGTCAGCTCTAGGCTCTGTCTCTACCTCTCTGTATCCACACTTATCAGATCTGACAATGTCTCGTACCCTGAGTCGGTTAGCTCGGCTGATTGCTGCTTGAACTGGCTTCCCTAGCTGGAATGCTGTGAAATCCTTAGCTAATTGGGGAAAACATATAAGCAAGCAGTCGGTTATTGGCCTCTTGCTCTACTAAGTATTGGGTTGGCACTTACCGTTACCCTTCCAACCGTTTCTCCGGGCCTAGGGTTCCCGCTTTTCTCTGTGTCGCCTCGGGTTTGTTCCCGCCGAGCTATTCTCATCCTCGTTACGGTGTCCTAGCTACACTACTCTGTCACACAATAATATCAAGGTTCTTATTCCTATTCATCCTAGTGATGCCTTTATTAGTTGCATGACATCGCAGCTATCTTGGCTTGCAGATCATCCGGGCAGAGCACGGCGCACCATCACTTTGACTCAGTCACACATGGTGCACCAGGTCCTTCAGCGCTTCCGCTTCCAGTACTCCTCGCCACAGTCCACCCCTCTACCTACCGGTCACTCGCTCTCAGCTCCACCTTCGGACGAGTCCGTAGAGCCGAGTGGCCCGTATCCAGAGCTTGTGGGCTGCCTCATGTACCTGATGGCCTGCACTCGACCTGACCTTGCTTACCCTCTTAGCATCCTGGCACGCTACGTTGCGCCCGAGAGATACCGACCAGAGCACTGGGAGGCCGCTAAGAGGGTGTTGCGCTACTTGTGCAGTACGTCGAGCATGGGGCTCGTGCTTGGAGGACAGGGTCCAGTTATATTTACTGGACACGCAGACGCTTCTTGGGTTGATGACTTGGCTACGCAGCGGTCGTCACAGGGTTACACTTTCCGCCTTGGCTCCGGCCCTGTTTCTTGGTGGTCTACCCGCTCATCGTCTGTTCTCTGCTCCAGTTGTGAGGTTGAGATCTACGTAGGGACCATGGCTGCACAGGAGTTACGCTGGCTCACCTACCTGCTGACCGACTTGGGAGAACGGCCTCGTTCTCCTCCAGTTCTATACGTAGACAACAAGACCATGATTGCCTTGTGTCAGGAGCACAGACTGGAGCACAGGACGAAGCACGTCGCTCTGCGTTACTTCTTTGATTGAGAGTTGCAGCAGCGTGGTCAGCTTCGTCTTGCTTACGTGGCCACTCGGGCCAACACTGCTGATATATTCACCAAGGCACTTCAGCCTTTTGATCATCAGCGTTTCTGTACTGTTTCAGGCCTTGTGCCTACTTTGCCTCACTTGCTCACTTCGTGACTTTGCTTGTACTGTAATCTATATACTTATACGTGCATGCTTACTTTTGCTAGGCCGTGATCACTGTACCGCTTGTTCCCATTTATATAACTCTGCATGTGAACTGGTCTTGTAGCTGATTGCTTTTGCTCAGAGTGTGTGGTGACTTCGTGATCCACCCTGAACTTGCTTTTCTTTTCTTGACTGTTCTTGTGACCCCTTGCTCTCCCCCACTTTACCTATATAGGTGTGTCAAACTCTTATGTTGTGTGTGTTGTGTAGGCTGTAGTGGAGTAGCCCGTACCCAACATTCTCAAAGTTCATCCATCCTCGCTTACCCTTCTGACACTTAGTCAGTACCCAACCACACTAGCAAACTTCTGTTGCTACACTCCGTGTGATCAGAGTAAAATGGCAAGCTACGACTCTTCGCATTCCCTTGTATTCGTGTATAAACCCTTGTACTGCACTGGTATAATCACTTCTATCGAGATTCAAATCTCCTTCTAATAAATTCCGTACCCAACCACAGCAGCAAGCTTCTGTTGCTACACTCCGTGCTATAAATATGTTATTACAGATTCTAACAGTGTTTAGCAGATTCATTGGGCTACCCTAAACACATTCGGGGGAAAATTTTCGAAGGTCAGAAACTTATCCGCTGCTGAGGGAGTGTAGGTAAGGCCCCGAAAGTCCGTGTGTGCAAAATAATACGGAAATTACCACTTATTTTCGGTATAGTCAGGGTGACTACCAAGTATTGCCAATCTGTGGGTACCCACCAGTCATGTCACGAGTGGACTTTTTTAGGTTCGGAGGTTACTTTTTTCTGAAATCATGATTGCAGGCACACCCTGCTGTGCTGGACGCTTTTGTAACGGCTTCGCCTTCTCAACAGTCGGACTAAGGAAACTAGCTAGGAAGTTCCGCGCGCGTGAGGGATTTCGTCGCCTACTGCTACATACATCTCACCACGCATGGTTGGTTCGGTGGGCCGAGCCTGTTACATACTAGGAAGCTGCCACATAGGCCATAAGAATCGCACTCGAGCCAATCAGCCGGAACACGTTATCGCTTGAACTGCCAAGCTGCAGCATCATGGGAGCCTCTAGCTTCGCCAACACAACCCATACATGTCCCGGCCCCGTCCGGATTTCTGATTTTCCCTCACCGCTCCCAACTCCCGCACGCCCATCCGCGCTACCACTACTAGCACTAGTAATAGTAGTACTAGTAGGGTTTGCACCGCGCATTCGTGTCACCGCAGACCCTACTGGCTTTGACGCGGAGAGGTGTTGTATTGGTGGCGGTTGTGACTCAACTGGCGCTGTAGCAGCAGTCTTTCTCTCGCCCCGCTGCGATGGACGGCGCCGTGAGCTCTCGGCTCGGCGCGCAGCTCTTCCTCACCTTGCTCACGTCTGCCGTGTCTCCCGTCCGCTGTGTTACCCTCGCCAACTCCCAAGGTCCGATTCAGACGCGGTTAAAAGTTGGCGACTGACGGGCAGGGCCGTGGAGTTTGGCTACAGATGAGGTCGCTACTATAGGGTTTGTAGGGCGATAGTCGGAGCCTACTTCCATGATAAAAACGGCGCCATAAACTTAGAGCGAGTGACATTGTCGGCTAAAAAATCGGACCATTGCTGAGTAATAGTCGTCCGTGCATTTCCAATCCTGCTCCTTTTTCCTGTTCTTGAGGTGCCCATCCCTACCCCTCCCCCTCCCACCCCCTCTTCCTCCTCTCCTCTTCACTCTCCCCTTCCCTTTCCCATCCCCTCTCTCCCCTTCTCCCATGCCCTCTCTCCCCCCTTCCTCTCCCTTCCTCTCCTATCCCTTCTCGCTCCTTCCCTCTCTCCCACACATGGAACGGGGCTGCGATGGCCATACAGTTTGAAGCCTTGAAGCTTGTACGGCCATACAACAAACGGCTATACAATTTGAAGCCTTGAAGCTTGTACGCCATACAACAAACGGCCGTACCGTTTGAAGCCTTGAAACTTCTAGGGTGATAGTACGGCCACAAACGGCGCTACAGACGCGGCATCATACGCGTTGGGAAGTTCAATGGGAGTCCTGCTGGATAATTGCTGGAGCAGGTTGCTCGAGAGCGAGAGACCAGTCCTGGAGTATTAGTAGTCATCCCCAGAGCGTTCTCAGCATTTCCACCCCTGCTCCCTTTACCCGTTGTTGTGGTGCCCACCCTCACCCTTCCCCCTCTTCCCGCCCCGTCCCTCCCTCCCTCCCTCCCTCCCTCCTTCTTCCTCACTCTGCCCTTCTTCTCCCATCCCCTCTCTCTTCCTCTCCCCTCCCTTCTCTTCCCTCCCCTCTCTCCCACACACGAAGCTGGACCTCGATGGCTGTACGGTTTGGCACAGCCTTTCAGCTTCAAGATGCGACACTCGACTCTTGATTCACCGCCTTGCCACGCCGTGAACCGCGCACGAGCCTCCATGACTTTTGAGTCGACTCAAGACTCGCTCGTCGTGAACTTCACGGCTTGCCACGACCCATCACCCACTCCCCTTCCCACTTCCAGTTACCCCTCCCTCCCACTCTGGCTGGTCTCAAGCTCTTGTGGACTTGCACGAGGAGGGGCGAACGATCCCATCACCCTCACACCGCTTCCCTCCCTCCAACCTCCCTCCGTCTACCCTGCCCTCCCACCCACCTCCCCTCCGCCTACCCCTCCCTTCCACCTCCCTCCTTCTACCCTTCCGTTCCACCCACCTCCCTCCGTCTACCCGTCCCTCCCACCTCCCTCCGTCTACCCCTCCCTCCCACCTCACTCCGTCTACCCCTCCCTCCCACCTCCCTCCTTCTACCCTTCCCTTCCACCTCCCTCCCTCTACCCGTCCCTCCGACCTCCCTCCGTCTACCCTTCCCTTCCACCTCCCATCCGTCTACCCCTCCCTCCCACCTCTCTCCGTCTGCCCTTCCCTCCCACCTCCCCTCCGTCTACCCCTCCCTCCCACCTCCCTCCGTCTACCCTTCCGTCCCACCTCCCTCCGTCCAACCCTCCCTCCCACCTCCCTCCGTCTACCCCCCTCTCCCACCCCTCCGTCTACCCCCCTCTCCCACCTCCCTCCGTCTACTCTCCTCCCGACCTCTGCCCCCAGTGAAAGCGTTTTTGGGCTTGCAAAAGGAGGTGGGGCGCACGTTCCTATGACCCTTTCACGTCCCTTCTGGACTACCCCTCCTTCCCACCTCTGCCCCCAGCGAAAGCTCTTGCGGACTTGCAAAAGGAGGTGGGGCGCACTTTCAGTGGGTGGACGGTGGGCGGCAACTGCAGCACTAATCAGCGACTCACCTGTGACGCCCAGGGCATGGTGACTGCCATGTGAGTCAAGGCATGGTGACTGCCATGTGAGTCAAGGCATGGTGACTGCCAGGTGAGTCAAGTCAAGGCATGGTGGCGTTAAAGTGTCAAGGCCTTGTGAGTCAAGGCGTGTGAGTGTGACTGTCACAGCATGGCCACCGACATGTGATTCAAGGCATGGTTACTAGCATGAGAGTCAAGGTATGGTAACCGAGACTAGGGTCGTCCCTCTTCTGATGTGTCGCAGGCCCCGTCCTTTCCCTCCCTCATTCCCTCGGTATCGCCAACACCTTCTGATCTCCCCTGTTCACTCCCTACTATCTCCCTTTCCGCTTCCTTTCCGTCCCTCCCTCCCGCCCACACCTTCGCCGACTCTTATCAGACCCCGCCTTTTTCTGTTTTTTTGCGTCCCTCCATTCCTCCAACTTTCACATAACAGAAGCTGTAACGTCTGTGTTGAATATGATCACTCCCTCTGATAAGCTCTGAGCCAGCCTGAACATATTCACCTAACGCATGAGTCACCCAGTACCTTTACACTGGTCCTCTGGCAACCTTTTATTTGGTTTCCTCTTTCCATTCCTTTCTCTGGCAGAGATCTAAGCATGAGCAACATAACAGGTCCATTCCCAATGTCAACCAGCGCTTTTAGCAGCCTCACAAAGCTGTTAGTACATGGCAGTGCATCACTGTACCATCTTGGGCGTTGACCCATCCAGCCATCCATCCATCCATCCATCCATCCATCCATCCGTCCGTCCGTCCGTCCGTCCGTCCGTCCGTCCGTCCGTCCGTCCGTCCGTCCGTCCGTCCGTCCATCCATCCATCCATCCATCCATCCATCCATCCATCCATCCATCCATGCAATTGTTTCTTGTTGATATTGCTGTTCGATCCATGCGAGTGTTTGTTTGGTATAGCAAGGCACTGATGACGTGGTATGCAGAACGAGACCGGGCCAAGGACTGCATTTTGATACATTGCTCAACCCTGAGACTAAATCAATGCTGAAGTTGTTGCTCACATGTACCCCATGCGCCCACGTTGTGTGCGAGCGTGCATGCGTGTGTGTGTGTGTGTGTGTGTGTGTGTGTGTGTGTGTGTGTGTGTGTGTGTGTGTGTGTGTGTGCGTGCGTGCGTGCTTCCGTGATTTTTTGTTTTGCATCTGCTTCAGAGAGATCTACAGCAACAAGCTGGATGGTCCGATCCCAGCATCTATATCCAAGCTTCAGCGCGTGAAATGGCTGTGAGCGTTTGACTGCAAGAAGGCCTGTTTTGCCGCATATGTGGTACTTCCACCACCTCACAATATTGTCGTGTTACATGATATGTGGTTGGATTCACCTGCTTTTGGTTCTGATCCATCACAAGCACGAAGTTCAGACTTAAGACCTGTGCGTATCCTTAGCAGAGATATTAACATATTTTCCCTCTCCTTCCCATTACCATGGTGTGCATACTGCTTCCTGCCAGGAATTTGTGTGCCAACCCATTCACTGGATCGATCCCATCTGCCATCTACAGCATGATCAGCCTCGAACACCTGTCAGTGGACATGCGCACCATATTGGAATTAGCATCAAACCATATTGGAGTCACTTTTGGAGCTCCTCAAAAGTGACTCCAAACTTCAGAGGTTAACCAAATTTGTGGGCTTTGCCAGTTCCGAGCATGAGCATCAATCAATGACACCTCTTTCTTGTGACGTTGTCCATGCCAGGTTTCCATGCTCTTTTGTTTTCTGTAAACTTGCATACACATGCACAAAACATAATTCATTCCGTTTGCGTCCTCATGTGGCTGTTTAAGCCTATTGTAGCAATTCCTATTCATGTGCACAATTTTCTCCCAATTCACACAACACTCCCCATCTTATCCATAGACCTGAGCAAGGGGCGAACACGACCATGTTCGTGCTCGCCCCTGCACGAAAACGTGCTGTGGGTGAACCGAACATGTTCGGTTCGCTGCAAAGACTTAAAAAAAAAAAAAAGGTGTTCGCCTGTTTCCAGGTGAGTGCGAACACTTACGATGTTCGCCCGAGTAGGAACATGTTCGCCAAGAACATGTTCGCGCTCGACTTTCCTGAAGCCCTCATTACAATCACACATCACAGTCTAGTGCCAAGTGTGTACCTGGTGGTGGGGTTACTTGTGTGCGGTTGAGGGTGAGGGTAGTGTAGGAATGTAACAACATGAAATGAATGCTCAGGGTTTGTGGAAAGCATAATGTAAAACAACACACGCATCTTCCTACGCTCAGCTCATAATGTTGGCTGCCATGTATGTCATGTCAACGAATGTCAGGAAACCCATGTAAAAACCTACAGCATGGCTAGGCTACCACCCCCAGCAACGCCCTCTCTAACACCCCCACCAGCCACCACCTCCACCTCATCCTCCGACTCTGACCCCTCTCCCTCAACAGCGAGGTCAGGGGATGGTGTTCCCTTCGGCCTACGCTGCTCGCCAATCCTCTGTCTTCGGCATACCATGAGCTAATGATCATGAAGGCTCGCACACGCTCTGCGTTAAGGCTGTGCCGCTTCCAAGAGATGAGGTAGCGGCCCATGGAGAACACACGCTCACTAGCTGCAGACGTCGCCGGGATAGCCAAATTATTCCGCGCCATCTGTTGCAGCGTCGTCTAGGGTTTAGGGTCATCCTTAGAAACTCTATAAACAACACTGTCGACTGCCAAACGCTAGAGTAACATAGTGGAAATCCATTACGCCACCCTAGATAAATACTATGAGGGTGTTAGTGCTGCTGGCACGTCTAGTCTAGGCTTTTGCGGGGTGTGGTAGCTGAAATCGAGCTCAAGAATGAGCTCGATTTGTGTCCCAATGTCGACCTAGTAAGTGTTGCGGGGGACCAGCGTGACGAACACAGATGTGTTCGTCTGCGGGGCCGCGCGAGCACGAACATGTTCGTGTTCGCACGGCTCGGCTAGCCGGACATAACGAACATGCGGACATGTTCGTCACGAGCAGTTTCGGCAAAATTCGAGACGAGCCGAACAGGTGTTCGCCCCCTTGCTCAGGTTTACTTATCCATACACACATCGCCAACCTTCCACCATTCTCTTCCTCTTTTCCTCGTCTCTGCCCGTCACTGCAATGCTCTGCTGTCTTGTTTTCTGCACATTGGCAGGTACGTAGCAGGAAACAACTTTACCGGACCAATTCCATCCTCTATTGGTAGCATGACCAACCTGGTGAACGTGTGAGTATCATGCCATTCTGACCACAAGAATCTGCGTGGATGGTCCCACAAGAATCTGTGTTAAATGCCACGAAATTATGCATGTACGTGTAAACAGATATGCATACGTATACATGCATATATGCACATGCATATACGTATTCGAATGCGTGTATATAGTATAATTCTAAGGTTGCTGTTGATACAGGAAAAACAAAAGAGTAGAATCGTACGACTGAGGGAAATCACTCGCTTGTTGCAATGCCTGGATGAATTGAATCTGAGAGCATTATGCCTTTAGGCTGACCTCTGTGTGTTGTCTTAATTTGTGATTCTACAAGGTGATCATACAAAGAATTATTAGTAAGACTGGAAAACACCAGGTGAACCATTTGTTACTGGTACAGTGGTATTGACCTGGTGCTCATTGGATGCTCCCCAGAGCTCTGGCTTACAACAAATTGAGTGGTTCCATACCAGCCTCAATTGGAAACCTTCTGCAACTCACCTACTTGTGAGTGAGCCTCTCGGATCCAAAGCTCGTCAACGTTAATCCGAGCATAACAGTTTTCATATATAATTATATACATATACTTTTACATATTTTTGGTGGCAGGTCATGGCCACTGGATCTGGTTGCCATTCGCTCATCCCATGCATTGCATCATCCCCACCGACCTGTGCATCCCTCGCTCCCTTGCGTCCTTACACTCTTTGCAAAACTATCTTTCAGGGGTTTGGTCGAGAATACGATTTCCGGAACTGTTCCATCAACAATAGGCCGCTTGACTAATTTGAGCGTGCTGTCAGTATTATGGGAAGCAAGCATTATGATAAGTTAACAGTGCATAGCATCAAGATCTTTGTTCATGCAAGCTGACTTCTTCGTAGGGCTATAGGACTTACAAGGGTATTCAGGCGTAGTATCCCATTCGCTCGTGTGCAATTCTGGGTGATTAATTTTGAGTTGCAGATTTTCTTAGTGCCGCAGTGTCACGTTAGTTGCAGATGTCATTTGAGTAACAGTTTCACTTTGAGTCGCAGTTTCAACTGAAGTGGCAGTTTCAGCCATGCCTCCTCCTGGTTCGTCCCGAATCAACCCTGACTCGACCTTTGCTCACTGCGCCTGGTCCTGCCGTTGCCCGTTTTATATTTGGTGAAATGTGACAGTGGGCTCATGAAAAACAACTTGACCGGCTCAATACCTGCAACAGTTGGCAACCTTCGAAATCTGGAGATATTGTAATGCGTGTTTTTTTGTTTGGTTTATATATATATTTATATATATATATATATGTATGTATGTATATAAATATATGACCAAACACGAATTTCTTGCATTGCTGCTTTACTCCCTGATTCTGCCTTCCAGCTGCACCTGATGTCACCTCTTTCTTTCTCACTTCTCTTCACTACTGTATTGTCTGCAGAGCATTCAGCACAAACAGAATGAATGGCTCGATACCAACTACATTAAGTAATCTTCGAAAGCTGACTATAATGTGAGCCCCTGATATGAAAGCATTGCACTTGGGGGGGATGGACCTTTGGTTGGTTGGGAGATCCTAGACTCAGAATTCCATGTTCTTTTTTTGCGACCTGTGGGTGCACCACGAACCCACCAATCCAGCCTACCCATTCGGTTGGTAGTCTGTTCTTGAATCTCAACAGTGAGTTTCCACAAGTACCTTGTGTTGCTCTTTCGAGTCATGGATCCCCGAGACAAAGGTGTTGCTCAGACCCGTAAGACTTGCAAATTGTAAGAACCACACTGCCCTCGCAACCCCTCACAGTACCTCGGGATGATCGCTGCCTCAAGAATCCATGTAATGTCCCACCCCCTTTCCGGCCTCTCTTGCTTCCTGCTGCCTCTGCACTCCTCGCTCTCTCCCTTACCCCCCACGTTGAACCTCCACGCAGCCATCACCGAGGAAAACCACATCACCACCTCCTCCCACACCTCCCCACCGTTCTCCTGATCCTCCTCACCATCCCAGCGGCTTTCCACCTTCAAACTCCAACCTTTCCTACCTTTCCCCCCTTTCCCTTTTCCACTGCATTCCCGTTCGACCAAATCGTTTTTTAACAAAGGATGCGCGCACCACATAGCCATGTGAATGAGAAAATATAAAGGCACCTGCTCGGCTCGCTCCAGCAGCATACCCACGTTCACAGGCCCGGGCAGGGGAGCAGGGAGGTCCAAGCACTCTACCAGCTTCACAAACCCAGGGGAGGCTGGCGGGAACGCCAAGAGAACCCGGGCGAAGAGGTGACTAACGGGGCGGTAGGCAAAATTGGCAATGACAGCAACGGAGCATGCGAAATTCATGAAGTCAGTGGAGCAGCGGGTGCAGTGGGCGCATGCAGGGGGGTCCAATACGTACCCCGCTAGCCCCACCAGCAACTCCACATCGGCCTGGCAGCGCACGATAGGAAAAATCTTTCTCGCGGGCGGTAGTGTGACGCTCTGCTCGGCGTTTCCAGGTGGTTCAGCCTTTTTCCCACTCGCTCTGCTCTGTGTGGCTTCCACACTGCACTCCTGCCCTGCTGCCTTACAACCTTTTCCCCTTGCACTCCTGCTGTTCCCTCCTGCTTCAGATGTGTGCTGAGGAGGAGGAGGTGGGGTCCACTTCTCTGCTGCTCCACCGCACTGTTCCTCTTCCACAATCCCAAGCCCAAAACATCGCTCTTTCGGGTTGACAGGAAACTTCACGGCAGCTTCATCGCCCCTAGGCCACTCCTCCCACTCCAACGGAACGCCACTTCCCTCCAGAGGCTTGGGAATGGCGCCAAACCTGACCAGCAGGCTCAGAAGATCCCGAAGCGGGTGGCGCATAACCCGTACCTTGCTCGGAGCACCGTCTTTCGAGCACTGGTTTCTTGAGATGGAATCTGGGCCGTAGATTCGGACCCACTGCAAGATGCAACGGGCCCGATAGGTGAATGCAGCAACCACAAAGTTCGTGTTGACAGGCACAAGTCTTTTGATTGGTACTGGCCTATCGACTGGCACGAGCCCAGCATTTGTAGCAATGGCTGTAGCAAGCTGAGTGGGCTGAGGGGGCTGAGGGGACTGAGGAAGCTGAGGGGGCTGAGCCCCTCCCACACCTGCCCCGTCTCCTCCATCCATCCCCGTTTTTGCATTCAGGCGATGCTGCAGCAGCCTCTTCCTGGCTACGTATATAGCTGCCTTCTCTACCTGTATCTTGCTCGCAGGGTTGGCATCATGGAAGTACAGCTGAGCTTCCTTCCAGTGCTCTGGTTGCAACAACACTGTAGTGACAGCGAGGGCGAACTCGGTCGCACCTACACCACTCACGTGCATGCCCCTGGGAGCACTGCTGCTCGCACTGCTGGCCCCAGGATAGCTGACGTTGCTGCTGCTGCTGCTGCTGCTGCCACCACCACCGTCGCCGCCACTGCCGCCGCCGCCGCTGCCGCTGCTGCTGCTGCTGCTGCTGCTGCTGCTGCTGCTGCCCTCCTCAATGCAGGTGCTGCACCTGAACTCCGTCCCTTCCCCCCCTCCATGCTCCAATAACAAAGCCATGCCATCCACATATCTCCTCCACACGGGCCCTTTTGCATTCCCCCTCCACTTCAAGCCTTTCCTCACTATCCCGCACGTGCTAGCAACCCCTTGTACCTCTGCCTTGCTGTCTCCCTCCTCTTCCTGCCTCCCATCACGCTCCAGCCCCCCATGCCTCCCTGTCTCCTCTTCAGTACCTTCTCCCACACCCTCACATTCCCCGTCTCCCACCCTCCCCTCTCCATGCACCTTCTCCAGCCCGCCTGACAGCACATTCTGCAAGTAAACCCCAAACCCTTCCTGAAGGTCAGCGCTCTCCTTCACCCCAAGCACCTGTACCAGCATGGACGCAAAGCAGTCGTCTTCCCCCTGCCTGCCCGCCCCCAGCTGGGCCAGAATAGCTGGCCAGGCGGCCAAATAGGAGTACAGGTGGGCTCTCCATAGAGTCACAATGCGGGAAGACTTCGCTACAAGAACAAGGGACGTCGCGAAGTTGACAGCGCGGCGGTAGGCAGCCCAGCAACTGCTGCAGCGCCAGCAGCATGACGACGCTGTAGCAGCAGATGCAGCAGCAGCAGCAGTAGCAGCAGAAGCTGGAGCAGCAGCAGCAGCAGCAGCAGCAGTTGGAGCAGATGCAACAGGAGACGAGAACACATCTGCTGCAGCGTTCGCACTACCCAGAATGGATGGCAGGCGGGATCTGATCCTCCCAAGGTCCATGAGCACGCCTACACGAGGCTCAGCCATCCACTCAAGCAGCATCGCTTCCGCACAGTAATAAGGCGCCCACTCCACCTTCCATTCAACCTGCTCCTGCGCCGAAAGTCTGTGTCCCCCTTTCAGCACCTGCAGCTCCGCTGCTCCACTAAAGCACTTGAAATCGGCCTGCTGCTGCTCCTGCTGCTGCTGCTGCTCGGGTGCTGCGGCAGGGATGCAATCTGGCTGGTTCCTGCCTAGGTGGCGGCCATGCACGTCATCCAGGCTCTTTATGGCAAGTGCTCGCTGTGCTCTCTTGCATATAGCACGGTCAAAACAGCACTCGCACAGATCGTAATCCCACGCACCCGTCGCATCCAAGTAGTGAACCATGTCCGCCCGAGACAGCACCTAACGTGGCTTCGGAATTTCGTCAGCTCTTGCTTTCTCTGCTGCCACTCCGTTTGTCAAATCGGGCTGATCAGGTTTACCCTGTTTGATCCGGACGCCAGAGCAGGGAGCCCACTGCAGCATCGCATCAGCCTTCACCCGCTCTTCCAACTCCCGACTCTCCTCAGCTCTTGCTTTCTCTGCTGCCGCTCCGTTTGCCTCATCGGGCTGGCCCAGTTCACCCTCGCTGATTTGGACTCCAGAGCAGGGTGTCAACTGCAGCATCACATCAGTCTTCACCCGCTCTTCCAATTTCGGAAGGGACCATAGCAAGCGTGCTTCTCTCACGGCATGGTCCTCGTCCTCTTCCTCTTCCTCTTCCTCTTCCTCTTCCTCTTCCTCTTCCTCTTCCTCTTCCTCTTCCTCTTCCTCTTCCTCTTCCTCTTCCTCTTCCTCTTCCTCTTCCTCTTCCTCTTCCTCTTCCTCTTCCTCTTCCTCTTCCTCTTCCTCTTCCTCTTCCTCTTCCTCTTCCTCTTCCTCTTCCTCTTCCTCTTCCTCTTCCTCTTCCTCTTCCTCTTCCTCTTCCTCTTCCTCTTCCTCTTCCTCTTCCTCTTCCTCTTCCTCTTCCTCTTCCTCTTCCTCTTCCTCTTCCTCTTCCTCTTCCTCTTCCTCTTCCTCTTCCTCTTCCTCTTCCTCTTCCTCTTCCTCTTCCTCTTCCTCTTCCTCTTCCTCTTCCTCTTCCTCTTCCTCTTCCTCTTCCTCTTCCTCTTCCTCTTCCTCTTCCTCTTCCTCTTCCTCTTCCTCTTCCTCTTCCTCTTCCTCTTCCTCTTCCTCTTCCTCTTCCTCTTCCTCTTCCTCTTCCTCTTCCTCTTCCTCTTCCTCTTCCTCTTCCTCTTCCTCTTCCTCTTCCTCTTCCTCTTCCTCTTCCTCTTCCTCTTCCTCTTCCTCTTCCTCTTCCTCTTCCTCTTCCTCTTCCTCTTCCTCTTCCTCTTCCTCTTCCTCTTCCTCTTCCTCTTCCTCTTCCTCTTCCTCTTCCTCTTCCTCTTCCTCTTCCTCTTCCTCTTCCTCTTCCTCTTCCTCTTCCTCTTCCTCTTCCTCTTCCTCTTCCTCTTCCTCTTCCTCTTCCTCTTCCTCTTCCTCTTCCTCTTCCTCTTCCTCTTCCTCTTCCTCTTCCTCTTCCTCTTCCTCTTCCTCTTCCTCTTCCTCCCCGTCCTCTTCCTCTTCCTCTACCTCTTCCTCTTCCTCTTCCTCTTCCTCTTCCTCTTCCTCTTCCTCTTCCTCTTCCTCCCCGTCCTCTTCCTCTTCCTCTTCCTCCTCCTCCTCCCCTTCCTCTTCCTCCTCCCCTTCCTCTTCCTCTTCCTCTTCCCCTTCCGCTTGCTCTGCTGCCCCTCCGTTTGCCCCAGTGCACTGACCTAGTCCACCTTGCTGGTTCTGAAACGTCTGCAGCCAGGCATCCATACTCTTCCCCTGCTCTTCCAACTCATGAAAGGACCGTGACAAGCGTGCTTCTCTCACAGCATAGTCCTCGTCCTCTTCAGCTTGCTCTTCCGCTTGCTCTTCCGTTTGCTCTCCTACCCCTCCGTTTGCCCCAGCGGACTGACTAAGACCACCTTGCTCCTTCTGAAGTGCCCTCAGCCAGCCATCCATACTCTTCACCTGCTCTTTCAACTTATGAAGCTGTAACAAGAGTGTGTCCTTCACAGCAACTGTCTCTTCCACTTCCTTTTCCCTCGTATTGCCAGCGTCAGAATCAATGCACTTCAGCTCTGCTCCGCCGATCCCTGTCGGGACTCCTCTCTTCAGCATACGCCCCTCGCCTTCCATGTTGCTGGCCTCGTTAGGTTCCAATTTGGTGGTGAAAGCAGCAAGCGCAGCAGCAGGCGCAGCAGCAGGCGCAGCAGCAGGCGCAGCAGCAGGCGCAGCAGCAGGCACAGCAGCAGGCGCAGCAGCAGGACCAGCAGCAGGACCAGCAGCAGGCACAGCAGCAGGCGCAAGAGCAGGACCAGCAGCAGGAGCAGCAGCAGGCGCAGCAGCAGGCGCAGCAGCAGGCGCAGCAGCAGGCGCAGCAGCAGGCGCAGCAGCAGGCGCAGGTGCAGGATGAGGAGGAAGAGAATCCGAAAGGCGAGAAACTGCAGTTGCAGATGCAGGAGCAGGAGCAGGAGCAGGAGCATTCCGAAATGGCTGGACCTTCTTCTCGCCCTTGTCCCTTCGATTTCGAGATACGTTTTCAAGGGAGTCCTCTCCTTCATCCTCTTCCTCTTCCTCTTCCCCTTCCGCTTGCTCTGCTGCCCCTCCGTTTGCCCCAGCGCACTGATCTAGTCCACTTTGCTCCTTCTGAAGTGCCGCCAGCCAGGCCTCCATACTCTTCAGCTGCTCGTTAAACTTCTGAAGCTGTAACAAGTGTGCGTCGTTCACACCACCTTTCCGAAATGGCTGGACCTTCTCCTCGCCCTTGTCCCTTCGATTTCGAGATACTTTTCCCAGGGAATTCACGATGATGGTTGTACCCGCTTTAAGCTTGGTTTGCTCAACGTTCAAGTCAGGAGAAAGGCACACTTGCGGCCCAACATCCACAGCCGTGAACCCACCGATTTCAACCTGTCTCGACCTCTCCGCTGCTGACGTGTCTCGTGTGGCCGGCAGCAGATGGGCAGATGGGACTCAATCAGTCTGCTGAAAACCGAAGACAGAAGTTCGTCAGGAGCAACAGTAAGCGAGACGTCCGCGTGAGCTGCACTCGGCTTGATTCCAGAACTGTTGTTACCGAAAGGAGGGTCTTCATCCGTGTCGGATCCTGCGGACTCGCGATTTCTACTTTGGCGGGTGTTACGTCCACGGGTTTTCAGACAAGCTGGGATTTTGAAATTGACCTTGAAATCCATGTCGGATGCTGCAATATTCTGATCGAATCCACCCACTGACTTGAAATCAGATCCGTCGGTTTCACCTGGAACGGAAAGGCCAAGAGTGCTATCTCAGTCAATGGCTCAAGTCCAGCGAGACTCTGTGATCTCCGAGTAAGGAGAGGCTAAGAGACAACGTTTTCCCAACCACCGACTTTCCATTGCCCGAATCAAGCGAGACCTTTTCCGTTGTGCACATTGTTCCGGCAAAGCATCAAACCGTCCCATCATGTTCAGTCGTATGGGAAACATAGTGCTAGACGACTCATTCTTATCACAGGTGTCATCATCATCCCAGGGCCGTCGGTGCGTCTTCTAAACAGATTGGATATTGCCATGGAACGGGAGACCAAGTCCAATCAGAGATGTGACTGGAAAAGCGCGATCAGACCGAAGTGTTAGAGGGCCCTACGACAGCAAGGGCCCTCGATGACCTTTGACTTGGCAGGTCGGCGCCTAACGACTGAGTCTACTCGGCACCGACGCACGAGTTCGGTGGCGGTCATTAGTGACTACGGGTGACTGTGAGCTACTGCAGCGAACTCGGCGGAATCGGTGCTAGGAATGACGAGTCTTGGGGGTCGTAGGTGCCTTGCTTGTGATGCACGCTGCTCACTTGCTGTGTTGGCAGGAGTAGCGTGCACGGTGAGACATTCCGGTGCCGAGTTGGGTTGGAAATGTGCGGGGCGCGTTCACCCACCTGCACAGCACTTTCGTGTGGGTTGGGTTACTCGCAGCGCCACGCAACAATTGTGCAACTCTTGCTTGCCTATATATGTTTGTGTTTGCTTGTGTGTTTGATAATTGATATTGCAATTCTACTTGGCCCAAATGCTACTTCAATTCTCACAAAGTCCTTAGAGGCAAACGCTACCAAAACTCTACCAAGTTGCTGGCGCAACATCATTCCCATAGCAGAGACTCTCTCGCTATCGCTACGCTCTCTAATATATTCCTTCATGGTGCGGTGAGCGTGGAACGAACACGCATAGATTTCCGTCGTCGTTGATATTCGCGTTCGTATACTCGCCTTGGCGTGCGGCGTTAGTGAAGGGCGCTTATTAATCTAAGTTGAACCTCTCTTGATTTCCCTCCAGTTACGTTCTCGGACCCAAGGATAGGGCGTTTGGTAATTTATTACCACTCGTCTGAGGACCCTTGTGAGGTGACCCCGAGACGAGGGATTTAAGGAAGGGGCACTTTATTTTAATTTGTGGTACCTTATAGAGACGTCGTAGAGGATGAGTACAGAGGAGGCGAACGTGGAGGCCGGTAATTTGCGCGCCCTAGAGGAGGATCTCGTGGCTCGTCATTCTCGTGGTGAGATTAGTGATATCGAATACGAGCTAATGTTGGAGGGATTGCGCTCGCGTCGGCGTCGTGAGCACCCTTCGCCACGTGTAGAGAATGTTGAGCAAGTTGCGGGAGGTACTAGTGCGTGGGATATGGCTGTCGATGGCGGAAATAGCGATGACGAGGAGTTTGATGGGTTGATGTCGCGTGGGGTCCTGCGAGGACCAACTCGGTTTAGTACGGCTAGCGTTGGCGGTGTACAGGAGCGTGTTCATCGTGCAGCAGCGTCACGAGAGCATGCGAATGTAGGACGGCGGAGCGTTGCTGGAGGAGGAATTGCGGAAGAGTTCGATAGTGAGGCTATGCCGGGCGTTACCCCGATTGGATCGATGTCGAGGGACGAGGGAATAGCCCCCAACTATGGCTACTTCAGATTCACTCCAGACAAGATCGTTGTCACTAGGCCGTTAGAAGGACGTCATGACCTGTCGACGTGGACAGAATCAATGAGCCGCAGCTTGAGATCGCTCAGCTAAAGCGATTCATAGATGGCACCACCCCCATTCCACCAGCGCGTGCGCTTGCGCATCTCTCTCAGTTCCGCGCGATGCAGTTGCTGACATTCACCACCATTTCCCGATGCTGCTCCCCAACCGTACAGATCGCCCTTAAGGCGTGTCGCATGAAGGTCGATGCCGGCTATCAGGCATGGCAGTTTATTATGCGCACGTACATGGCGAAGGACGATCTGTACATCGGTCAGTTAGAGCAGGCGCTCACTAACCTCGAGATGGGAGAGCACGAGTCCGCTACGTCATATTGCAACCGTGCGCAGCAGATCCTAGTGAACCTGAGGATGGCCGGCGTAGATTACTCGCAGGCGTCGTACATCACTCACGTTGTGAAGGGGTTGCCGCAGCAGTACAACCTCTTACGCAGGATGCTGAAGTTGCCGCAGGTTCGCAAGGAGTTGGACGAGGACACCCTCGCTAGCTACAACATCGAGGAGGAGTGTACGCTGGCGGCAGAGGGACGAAAGGACCAATTTCTTCCCCAGGCTAACCAGGTCTTTACCAAGAAGGGTAAGCCCCAATTCCAGCAGACTTCATTCCCTTCCCCTCCCACTACGGCACAGCAGCAGCAGCCTAAGAATGGGGGTGGGCTTGGTGGGGGAGGGGAGAAGTGGAAAGGGGGTAAGGATGGCCAGCCGAAGGGGGGGAAAGGGGGCTTCAAGGGGAAGTGCTATGTGTGTGGACAAATAGGGCATGTTGCTAAGTACTGTCAGCAGCGGGCGGATAAGGAGGCAGACACCGGTGGAGAGGGTTCTGGAGGTAGCAGCGGAAAGGGGGGTGATGGCTCTAAGGGGAGCGGGCAGTCATCATGTGCGATGGTGAAGCCAGTTGTGGAGCAGACTCCTCTCGTTGTGCTAGAGCCTGAGGCCGGGGAGGGCTTACAGGCTGTTGCAGCTGCTGTGAAGGCGAACCCGAGCGTCGTGCTGCTTGATAGCGGATGCTCCCACCATCTCATGGGAGATCGTTCTGCCTTTGTGGAGATGAGCAGCGGCGGCAGCATTAAGCAGGTTACCGGCTTCAACGGCGCCCTTCAGGAGGTGCAGGGGCGAGGCACAGTCGCTCTTCTTGGGGAGGGGGGCAGGCGTGTCTTGGTGCCGGACGTGCTGTACGTACCAGGAGTGCAGGCGAGTCTTCTCTCTGCTGGGCAGCTGCGTGATAGTGGTGTGCAGCTGCTGGATGCCGGGGATGTGACTTTGCTGCGGGCACCAGATGGATCGCTCCTTGGTCGTGCGGAGTTCAAGGGGCGTGTTCTCTGCACGAACTTCCAGCCGTGTTGGACGCAGCAGCAGGAAGGCGAAACGGTGGCACTTCGTACCTTGGCGACCGGCGTACGGTCTAAGGGGGACCTGTGGCATGCGCGTATGGCACACGTTGGTATTGATGCCATCGAGCGCACAGCGGCTCACGGGTCAGTGAAGGACTTGGATTTGGAGAAGGGGGGCAAGTCAGGCATACCTTGTGTCTCCTGTGTTGGGGGAAAGATCACTCGTCATACCTTTCCTTCTGTGGGAGAGGAGGAGGATGAGTTGCTCGGGGTGGTGCATGCTGACCTGTGTGGCCCTTTCCGTGAAGCAGCTAAGGACGGCAGCCGCTACTTCTTGGTGCTGAAGGATCGCAAGACGCGATATGTCTGGGCCTACCCTTTGGCCCAGAAGAGTGATGCGCTGGCGGCGTTCCAGAAGTGGCTCCC